GGGGTCCTCTTCAGAAATGTCTGCAGAATCCAATGGCGCATAGCAAATTCGTGCTAGCCAACCCACTTTTCGTAGAAATGTAACAGAAGTACTTAATAAAGTACGCGCATCTACCCTTTTTTAAACTTTGATCACCATTTACAAACATTTAATGATAGGCAAAATTCAAAATTTTTACAGCTACATATTCAGGCAAGTCTCCTCTATTTTCTGCGGCAAATTTTAACTGCCTATCGTTTTTAGTTTTCACGTAACACTTGGTTTTCTTCAAAAATTCGACCGTTTTTACAAAAACCCAGTTCTTTCGAAAACTGGACGTGACCCAGCAATTTGGTTTTCGGATTCGTATTTAGGGTAAGGAACTCTATAAGAATCACCTAGTGATTATTGTAAAAAGCAAAATAGGTTAAAATTTGTTCCACAGTGTTACTTAGTACTCACGTAAACGAACTGTTGTAGCACAGCATTCAACCGAGACTAAGTACACAATCGCTGCTCAGTGCTGTCAAGAAATGAAATATGTCAAGTCTGTTCTCAAAGAACTGTTACCAGTTATAATCTGTGTAAATTTGCATGTGGATAACACAAGCTACATAAATAAAATAAAAGCAAATTAGCTCACAAGAAAATGTATCTATATTAATGTCAAATGTTATTTGGTTAAGGATGAATTCGAGAAAGGATGGTTCAAGATTAAATACCATATACTCTCATCCAAGTATACAAATCTGTGATCGAATCTCGGATCGAATATGGAGGATTTTGATAGTAGCCTCACAACAATAAAAAAAAACTCACCAAAAATCTGAAACAAATTCAAATCTCTTTAGTTAAACTCACACTTAGACTAAGGAAATCAACATACTATTGATTTGTGACTCTAGTCTAGTATCTGTGTATCTAATGTCCAGACTAATATCTGGTCCAATGACAGAATACATTACAGAATTCACAGCACATATTTTATAAGACATAACTTTCACTAAAGTACCCACCAACACTGCTCATGGGAAAGTAATTCAAAACTCTCTCTGTCAAACCTCAGAATTCAATCATATTATCTATTTGCTCTACCCTTTTCATTGGCACATATTCACAAATAACTCCAAGAGGGAGAAAGCTTTATTCACTGGAGCTTCTTACACTGTACTTACTAAGGAAACTGCTGCAATTTTAATGGTAATTGAAGTGGCCCCAGAAGACACATCCAACTCATATATCATCTGGCCAGACTCTCTTAGCAACATCCAAAGAATTAGCAGCAATTCTTACAATGTGCACCTCAACAAATACATCCAGGAAATCAAAAAAATACCAACAAATTTCCACTCTCTCCAACACAACTGCATCTAAATCTTTAAAACCCCTATTTGTATAGGCATACCTAGTAACGAAATGAGTAATCAGGTTACCAAAGAAGTCACCTTGACTTACCCTGACAACAACGTAAGAATACCTCTCAGCAACTTAGACCAAACTCAAAGATAAAATGTGAAAAAATTCGGAGACTCTCTAAAGGAAATATTCTAACATAAAAGACACCAATTACTTAACAAATTTGTACCAATCTGGAGAAAACCCTTGGTTCTCCAAACAGAAACTTCCAAAGCACTTTACTATTTGGATATGCAGATACAGAACTGACCATTATAACTTACATACCAGTATTACTAGCCAGAGTTGAAATCACCAAAGACAGCAGATGTGGGTATAGCCACGACAATCAGAAACTTTATTGCATACTTTGGCATTGTCACTTTTATAATTACTCAAGACCCAAAATGTTGAATGACATCAGTAGAAATTGCTTCTCAGATGTCAATAAAACCGAATCATTTATTCAAGATATTAACATACCAATTTTAAGAATAATCATAGCTTTCCTTAAATCGAACAATTTAAAAATCCAAGATATATCAACCTATAATAAAGTAGGAAGTAACATACAGTAACTAGTTTTAAGAAAATATGACTGGAACTCTCTCCAAATTTAGTGCAATATCATTATATCTACCATAAGAGCTCATATACATACATACATTAACATTGAAATAATTATTTAGATATTCAAATCTAGATATTTCATGGAAATCTAATTATATGAATATTATCTCCTTGTACTTAGAAATATGAATCTTATATTTTTATATTTTATTATAAGCTTTAAGAACATTATATTTTTGTACCTAGTTATAAGACCTTCAAATGCTCTACACATAATAAAATAATTACTAACATAAAACAAATAGATGTAATGTACAAATGAACCAAAGAAGATCTAGTGTATTTGTTTCAATAAACAAATAAAAGTTATATTAATGTTGTAACGTAAATTGTTGAATCTTAGCAAAATAAATTCACAGAGTACGACAATAGAGCTCAATTTAATACTGTTATATAATTTCTTTGTTTTCTAGAACTACAATTTAAAAAAGCTTCCCTTATAACATAATGATCTACATAGCTAAGTATTTACTTAAATACCTATTAAAATCGCGAGGTA